AAAAAAAAAAAAAAAAAAAAAAGGAAAAAAAAAATACAAACGTTATTAAACAACAAATATTGAACAAACTGATCTGGCCGTGTCCAGCATACATAATAATTTTCGAGATTGGAGGAGGGGAATAAATGATTTTGGAGATTGTTGGGTTTTTTGGTTTGGTTTTGTTTTGTTTCTTGGGTTGCTTTTTGTTTAGTTTCTTTGGTTACTTTTGGGTGAGGGAGGGAAGAGTGGAGTGGAATGATGTTGRGGGGAGAACCAGGACACAAGTTGAGAAGAAATCTCAGAAAAAAACCAATCCATAATAAATAAAGAGACTATTACCATATATGAACTCAAAAGCTACCCATGGTGTTTACTCTGCATATCTGGTTGTATTGTCTCTAGAATCCGTCATCTTGCAGTGAGTCGTTTGCTAACAACGCAGTGAAAGTGTCTGATGAATGTTGCTGAGGAAAATTGTCATGGAAAGCTGGTTCTCTTGGATGTGGCTCCAGTATTTGCAATTGAACTGAAGAGCAGATGGGTTTGGATCTGTTTTGATCAGTCATTGGCTTTATTTGAGTATAGCACTTAGTATGCATTACACAACCCAAGTGTGGTTAATGGGATTTGGAGATTCAAAAAAAATGCTTAAAAGTTATTAACCGTTCTGAGCTGAATATACTGTGCAAAAATAAAGGAGCCTTCCTCTGGGTTCTGGTTCTGTGACATTGCAATGCATGCAAAAAATAATAAATCAGTTTAATAAAGAGATCAGAAAGACACCATTGGAGTTCAACTCGTGACGAGACCAATAAATGTCAGAAAAGCTAAACACTTGTAAAAGAATGCAAAATACATAGTTTTTTTGACATATAACAGTTTTTCATATGTAATATTTTAATTTTGTAGCTTGACATTTCAAATCATCTCTGTTTTTCCATTTGCCCTGTTCTCCCTTTTCCTTCTCTTTTATATAAAAGAAAATAAATAAAGCTGCTGTGACACACAAAAAAAAATAAAGAAAAATTAATTTAATAATATAATATATATATATACACACAGATATATTTATCATGGTATGTTTGATGGGACGGCTGGAACAGAAGTTCTGTTATGGTCTTAATGCAGAATGAGAATGTTCTTGAAGAACAGAGTAAAAAGAAACAGACAACAAAAGCAAACCTTAAAATGTGAAGGGAGTGTGTGTTTYAGCTTTGTCACAGTTACCTGTGTCAAAAAAAATCTGAAATTTTGTTTACATATTTTACTACTATTTTTTTGCTAGTATAATTTCTATATGGATACCCTGATGGTGTATATACTGTTTTATGGTTAAATTGGGAATGTCTTACGTTTTATTTAACTTATTTAATTTGGTTCTTTGGTTTCTACATTTTCCCAGTTATTGTGAAAAGGATTATCTTACTGTACAGAACAATAGTGAGGTGATTTGACGGCCATGCCTATCATGTGCAAAAAAGTGAATGAGGGAGAGAGAGACAGAGAGGGAAACAAAAAAAAGCCAGGAAGGGTTGAGAACCCTGGAATATCAGAAATGAACACTTTTGCTGTATGCAGATGAAAACTAATCAGCTGTTTAGGTTTAGAAATCTACTCTTGCTGGTGTTTATAAGTCGCATGAATATTTGACTTTGAAGAAGTGTCATCAGATACACACACGCACATGGGAACTTAAATTAAAAAAAAAAAACAGTCTTCTCAAACATTTAGAGAAGACGCTTTCATGTTAACAAATATTTTCAGTGCGTGTATGTGTGCGTGTGTGTGTGGTGCGTGTGCGCGTGTGTGAGGTTGAGCTTTTTCTTTTTTATTTTTTATACTATAAAGAAAAAAAAGACAGGTTTTAAAAAGGTATGAAAGCACGATTTTAGATGACTTAACTGGCCGAAACTATATAAAGTTGATTATATCTTGATGTCTGTAAAAGATTGCTGTTCTTGGAGTCTTGGAGTCTTGTGAAATGATTTCCTGCTTTCTTTCTTCTTTTCCTTTTCACTTTCCTTTTTTAAGTTAAAGGAAAAATATTTACACTTTCCTTTTTTGTGTAAGTTTCTATTGGACAGTTTTTGGGAACATGTGCATTTCTGTATGTGGGCTTCTACCATATCCCTGTTGCTTTATGGACAACTGGAGAATTTTCATTTGAGTTATCGTGATGTTATTGCTTTTTTTCCCTTTCTTTTTCTTCTTCTTTTTGATTCTTTTTATTTTCTTAGTTGCATTTTGTTTAAAGATATGCTTAGCAATAAAATGTTCTTCCCAAAGCCCTGGATATGACTGTGTTTTTATTTCTCAAAGACTTCAGGGAAATTCCAGACCTTTAAAGATGAAAATATTCTGTGATGTAAGTATCCCCCATACCACAGGAGTTTTTAGCCACCAAWTTACAGAATCATGTTCATGTTTGCATTCTTCTCTTAGTCTGATGAACCTTACTTCTTTCCTTTGCAAGAACATAAATTGAACTTAAGTCTGGAGTGTTTCTCATCCCACTTCCATCACTTCAGTGGGATATTTCTCTGGAATATGGGTTTCAGTTATCCCAGATAAAAACACACCAAGGACATCATTGATTAGTGTGCCCTTTCTTACATACTGTATCTTATGCACTCCTTTTGAAGTGTGTAGCTCTTCCCATGATGTTTATGGGATTCTGAATTCCTGTTTGGTCAGGAGTCTATATTTGATGTGCTGCAGCAGCTAATTCTTTTGGGGATTTAGATAGGTAATTTGATGCAGAAAAATGTTCATAACATTTTATATGAAGATCTGGCTTAGGTCTTCTGAATTTATCTATCACCTTCCACATAACTACCTAAGAATGTAGATTATATATTTTGGGTTCAGTTCTTTCCAGGTAGACCCTGAGTGTCCCAAAGCCCCARCTGACTGCTTATCCTGCTGGGCATTGTAGTCTGATTGTGGCCATCATGCAAAATCACCAATGTCCTGTCTTGTTTAGCGGAACTTCAGTTCACAGTAGTGGTGTGGACTTCTTTTGTCAGATTTGATCTTCCCAAGCTACCTGCAAGGTACTTTACTTTTTACAGGCATCTGGAGGTCAGCGAAATGAGTGTTTCACAGCCCTTTCATTTTCAACCAAGGATGACGGCACCTTTTTTTTCCCCTAGGTAGAATCCCTAGGTCTTTTGAGCAGTGTTTTCCATAGGTTTCATTTACAACCAAATTCAACTTAGGATAAAATGATTGGTCAGAATTCCCTGTGATTTTCTACATTGGTTTTGCTCATGTTTGCATAGGTGAAAATATTTATGTGTATATACATGTGAGGTTGTTTTACTGTTTTCAGTTCTTTTGTCAATCATGTTATAACAACTTACAGATTCTCACAGGTCTCAAAAGCASAGGTTCTGGTCTAGTCTCCACCTGTTTCCCTCCCAAAATCATTAAATTCCTGGATGAGGACTAGTACCTCATATTTCCAGTACTAGAGCAGTCAGCTGGCATGTGGGAGATCTAGGTCTGAACCTAAATACCTCTTCTAATATTGAAGAAAATTTCCTTATCCTCAAGCAGCTGGTGTTCTGAAATTTTTTTTTTCCTCAGTACTTCTTCGAAACCTGCTATACTTATCATTATTAAATATTATGTGAAGCGAGAAATTTCAACCTGACTTACCCTAACCCTCTGGCCATAGTCATGCTTTTTCTCATTTTGTTTGTCACCTAATGACCTTTTTATTACTTAGGCTAAATGAAAATGTCAGAAAAAAGATTTCATTGCTGTCTAAAAGGCTTGGAATTATTGTATGTCTGGCTCATCACAGAATCATAGAATTGTTGAGATAGAAAGGGACCMCTGGAGATGATGTAGTCCAAGCACTACCATCCCAAAGCAGAGTCAGCTACAGCAGCTTGCCCACGACTGAGTCTGGTTCTTTTTACATCTCCACATGTAAACACCAAAATCTCTCCAGGCAACTTGCTCTGTATGACCACGCTCATTGTAAACATTTTTTGTTGAGGTTAGATGAAATTTAACATTTCTTGATTTGTTCTCATCCCCTTTTTCTGGGTACCACTGCAAAGATCCTGACTCTCTCTTCTTTGCAACCTCTCTTCAGGTGTTCATACATATTGGTAAGATTTCCTATAAGCCTTCTCTTCAGGCTGAGCAGTGCCAGCTCTCTCAGCCTCTCCTTGTATCACCGATGTTCCAATCACTTATTCATCTTCATGTCTCTTTACTGGTCTCACTCCAGTGCCTAGAGCAGACACAATTGCCTTATCCCTGTCACTGAGCTGGGTATATAGCTCTTTTCAAGGACCAGGGCTGGGCAGCTGCACTTCTTCCCACCATTTTCTACTGGTAAACAACATCCCACTTACTGTGACCCTCTTTGAAGAGCCTTCTCTTAGATGCCTAGTTCTACACTTCCAGAACTTTTCAGCGTATCTCTCTTTATTGCACAGTTGTAGAGGTTCTTCACTGAGACAAGTCAGGAAGATCTGAGCATGAATGGGCTTTACCCTTCCCAGCCCTGTGTTGTAGAAAAGGGCTAGTGAGGAGCAGTGTCAGTGATGGTTCCTTTTCCAGAAATTTCTGTCTATGCTTCTTGTCTGGGAGGAAGGGCAGACATGCTGGTCTCCTCTGCAGTTGCCATGCCAGGCTGTTTTTCGTCCACAAGATGTGAGAACAGACTGACCGGACAGTTCTGTAATCATGACTAAAAGAAAAATATCCTTCTCAATGATTCCATAGTGAAAATATCTTTAATCATAAGATGATGATGTCCCCCAGGGAAGACAAAGACACATGAATTATAACTCATGAATGTGACTCGACACAGAGCCAAAGCTAAGCATGTTACTTCTATAGAGATGAAGTTTTTAATGTCATCCATCTGTAATGGGTGTGCAAGATCACAAAGTTCTGTCAAGTGCCATGTGAGAATATACAGTCACATGCAGCTGTTGCCAT